AAATAGCAGAAGTCCTGGATAATGTGTTCAGGCTTTTGGTCAAAACCAGAGTTTCTCTTCTCAACATTCTTAACCATTAGAGAACCCACATACAATTTTGTGTACATAGATGAAACCATAGTACTAGATCTGTACAATACTTAACACAGTTATACAACAACAATTGACAGAAATCAACAAAAGTTATACAGTTATGCTGCACATTTGGTCTCTGATTTTGTTTCTATTGTCTCTTCTTCCATTATAATTCACATTTCCAAAGTAACCAGAGTTTTATGACTGAAAACTAAGGATATAATTACACTAAGAACTGAACCATGAAAATGTCGTAAATTTCATTTTTATAGCCCTAGAAATTGCGGATCTCAAATGATTAACTAAAGAGCTATATATCATTGTCAACCTAAATCAACATGCATACGATAACTTCGACAATTAAACTGAATTTGTGTGTATCCCAAACCAAGACTATCATTCATGCAAATATTAAGGCCTTAACCCTACTGTTAGAACACAGCCTCTCACGATTTTGTTCTCATGGGAACTTCACATTACTATACAAAACTACAAATCGTGTAGATAAACTGTATACAAACTTATGCTAAAAAATTTTGTTAGTATCAAACACATTAGTGCTAAGGAAAAGTAGCTTCTCCATCACACATCACTCTGCTGGCATACATTTTTTAGTTTTGCAAATTACAACTAAATCTTACGAGGTAACAACTAAAGCTTAAACACGAAGACCTTCGTTTCGGCACACTTGAGATCAAGACTTCAATGATTAACTAAATGGCTATTACATATCACAAACACAAATTTGAAGGATCAACAAAAAATAAATAAATAAATAAACAAATCATGGGAGATCGAATGGAAGTGTCATTCTTTCGATACCAATTTACTTGAAGATCATGTTAACTAAGAACAATTTACTTGAATATCATGCCAATTTACACAATTTGATTCCTCCTGTTGGAGTTTCGTTAACTTCACATATGTGCTCTTCCGATTGGGGCGCGCATACCACACAAACTAAAACTCAACTGATATGTAAAATTCAGACACTTGAGTTTGGTAATATGTAACCTTGTTTGAAGTTAATCAATTTTGGTCCTGGTTAGAATTAGAAATCTATTTCTCGAAATCAACATTCATTTTTTTTTTTTTTGGTTTACCGAACAAGGCAAATGAAATTTATAAACGTAGTTAAATTGATGCTTAAAATGTATATGGATTAAATTGATCATTTGATCTATATGTAATGTTATCACGTTATTGGTAAATTTGAATCCGATATAAAATAATCATCAGCTTCGTAAAACAAAGGGACCAAAAATTTGTGAGTTCCCAATAGGAAGAACCTAAAGTGACACTGGTCAAAAGGTGACGAGTGACTAATTAAAATGCTAACTTTATTTTTTTTCCCCTACTAATTTGGAGGGGTTGAGGAAGAGACTTACAGCAATTTGCAGTGGCAAATTATAAGAAAAGTAGAACTAATCATGATGATCATCATCCTGGATTCGCTATTTGAAGTTCTCCTCCGTAGTAACACCAACACGATTTATTGATTGATTAGTGAATAATATAGCTAGCTCTTTTCACGAAAAACAAAAAAAAAAAAAAGGAAAACACAAAAAAAAAAGAAAGAAAGAAACAGAAGACTGATTTGGTTCCATTTTTCACCAACTATTCGCCATCCCAACGGACAATTAATTTTTGCAATTATCCACATGCAACATAACTACCATTTCTTTTATTTATTTAATTAAATATCTTTAAATTTGTTGCTTTCCACTTGGTTTTTTAATCGCCCTCATTTCCACTAGGTTTTTGACATGCATAGGAACCATGAAATAACTTGAAGTGAAGACATCACACACTTAATCTAATTTTTATCAAGTCTTGTGAAACATTATTAAGGAATTTTTCAGCAAAAATGTAGAAACACCACGGGTTAATAAATTTTGTTGAGTTTTTTTTATGCATTTTCATATTTGGAACGATTCAATTGCATTCCGGCCTCTCTCCAGAAACTTTTATGGATCATTGACTCTCACCAAACACTAGCATCAATGTTTGGAATTCTATTGAATGATTATTATCTATCTACTCAAAATAGACACACTAATGATTGGAAATTAATATGTGACTTACTTTTGTCCAAATATTTACCATCATATAGGCAATTTTGTCTATATAAAGGCTGCCTTCATAAGGATTATTTCACAGTAAAACCCAACAACTAGTGTTGATAATTTCTCAAGGATATTAATAAAGAGTATACATAGATTACAAGGCACATTTAACAAACTGAATATGATGAGGCCGATTTTGAATTTGTTCGTCTTTCTTCTGGCACTTAGCATCAATCATTCCAGTAATTGATTCTTTTTTTCTTTTGTACTACCTCCGTCCCAAAAAAAGGTCCACATTGAATTTTCAAATTTGTACTAAAAACAGTACAAACTTCAAAACTCAATTTGGACTATTTTTGTGGGATGGAGAGAATATATCTTTCACCACTTCTATTTATTGATGAACCAAAATTAACTTATATTGTTTTGGTTCTAGGATTTTCAGGTGGAGTGGAAGCAACATCCAATGAACATCTAACTTGTGGAGTAAAAGAGGATTGTTTGGCGAAATGTCCAGCTAATACTATTAGAATAGATTGTAATGACGGAACATGTTCTTGTAATTCAAATTGTCAATCGGATCGGGATTGTTGGCCGGGTTGCCCACCTGATACTAAAAGGGCATTTTGTGGTGGCGGTCATTGTGAATGTTTAAAGTAGTCGATCTATAGTATATGTGTGGTAATCTTCACTTCATTATATATTACTCCTTCCATCCCAACAAAAAAAGTCTACTTTGAGTTTTAGAATTTGTACTAAAAACAGTATAAAAAAAAACTCAATGTGTACTATTTTTTTTTGGAGGAATGTAGTATAAAATTTCTCAAATTAAATACTTAGTGGTGAGAAACTTCTCAAACACTTGGATGTGATTGTCTGCTCTTTATTTTATGTATTCTGATCGTGTAAAATGATGAGCGTAAAGTACGTAAAGAAAAATTCTGATGGTAGGTAACTAAATGGACGGCTAAATTTATGATGAGAAATGATGGGAGTTAATCTAATTCAAAATGTTGTTGTGTTTCTTCTTATTGTTTATAGAATAAATTTCTGTTTGATAATCAGTTAATATAGTGACTTAATTTATTTAATTCCTTAATGAAATCAAGTGGGTTTGATAATCGCTACTAAAAATTTTTAATGAATTAAGTTCAAAACTAATTAAATACTTATAAATTAAGTACGTTTGATAATTAAAATTTCACTGTATGAAGTAATTAAGTGCGTCTGAATGGCCAATTCAATTGTGAGCCAGAAAATAAGTGAGAAACCTACCACTTATCACTTAACACTTAAATTCTGTAATAACTATATTTTTTTTCTTTTTTTCTCCTTTTTTTCCCTCGTCTTTATTTCGACGCTTATTTTTACATTGTTTTAAAATTTTTAGTTTCTTAAGATAAATTAATTTAGAGTTCTTAAGCTTGAATTTTAATTATGAGTATAAAAAATCTTAAACTTTCAAACTCAAATTAAACTAATTTTAATACTAGTACATAAAATTTGCTAAATAAAAATGTATATATCGATATATGTAAATAATCTAAATTTAATAATATATTGATTATTTACCAAGTTTAATATCTAATTTTATTATATATGCCAAAAACTTATTTTAAAATTATTATATTATTATTTAGAACAAAATATTAGTTATTTTTTTTATATTAAAAAAATTTTGTTTACAATTCAATTTTAATGATATTAAAAATTTAAATAACTTTTAGTCTTCAGACATCAAGTTCAGACGTTTTTATCAAACAGTGTAAATTCAGTTTTCAGACTTTAGACTTCACTGTTAAGTGTTAAGTGTTCAGATAAAAACTTTAGTGATTATCAAATGGAGCCAATAAATAAACACGATAAATAAAACTTAGGAGAAATAAAAATGTCTTATAATAAGGATCAGAGGCTAAAATACAAGATATGTGGTAAATGTTGAATTTGTTGATGTTTCTTTTAGTACTCAGCGCTACAATTTCTTAGTAAAGTAATTCTTGCGGTATTAAAGATGGATTGATGCAGAATGATGATACAAAGAATAAGTGTCTTTTTGCCATTGTTGGGAAGCTTGACCGACAATCTGGCAGTTTACTTTGATGTTGGGAGACGCTGGAAAACTTCAAGTTGATTGATGCTGCTTTCTGTTTGGCAGATAAAAAAAATGACTCGTCGCAGAATCACAAACAAAACAGAGTGATTAGTTCTTGAATTCTTGGTTGGCACTTTTTCCACTTATTAATTTGTATTCTGGATTTCGTTTCGTCAAAGCCTATCAAAATGTCTACAATTAAAAAAAAAATCTATATTAATCAACCAAGATAAACGAAAATTAATCCGAGATCGAGGTTCAACTCTCACTTTGGTAATGGATTTTTTTTTTCTATTAAAGATAAAAGAAGAATAGAATTATTTCTAATTCAAATCAAGAACTCAATGCTTAGAAGCACATTCTAGATCGGGACAACTTGAAACAGAACAGAGAGAAGCCATTAACATGAACAGTAGAAACTCGCTAAACTAAGCAAAGAAACTCCAACTGAAAGTTTTACCCAATGTTACATGAATTGTCTCATCTCTTAGGTAGACAGACTAACAATAGTATTAGTTTTTAGTCTAAACTCTGGTCTAAGCTTTTAGTAGAACTTTTTAGACTAACAATAGTCTAAACTCTAGACTAACAATAGTAGAAGTTTTTAGTCTAAACAATAATAGAAGTGTTTAGTCAGCTTTGTTTGTTTCCTTTTCTTGATGGTATTTTCATATTAATTTATTAATAACTGTTCTATTTTATCATAGTTTTTTACATTTTCAATATACTTTTTATATTCCTAATACAAAAAAACATAAAACAACACACTAAAAAAACGAAACAATTTAACTTCTAAATTCAAGTCAATGGAGCTGGTCTGTACCCCAATTCTTTCTGAAAATAATTGTTATAGAAGACATTAGCTTTGATTGCCGAGACTTGCTTCGACTATCGGGTAATCTAATTTATTGGAAAAGGAAAAAGGAAGAATGCTGTTTCCTGAAAAGATCATTCGGGCCAAAGACAAAGTTAAAAACTTTTTTACATTTTCTTAAACCATGTATCCGCAAACTAAGGTCCCAGCAACGGGTAACTAACGAGTCCTTGGCAATGGGGTTTGCCTCGGGGTCATGCAAACATTCGCAAGGCAAGCTGTATAAAAAATTGCAGAGAAGCATTTCTAAAAGGCCCCACCAAAACTGACACTTTGCCTTTCCTGCGTGCTCAGAAGACTGATTCATGAATGCCAAACTACGTGAAATAAATGTCAAATCGGCTGAAAGTGAGATCGGACTTACAACTTCCAAAACCACATAGAACAGGAAGGAGTTAGATAGCAGTTCTGCAGACCAAAGCTCACTGCTTCACAACTTCTTCAGTTCTCTCCTTCTGCTTATTATTAGAAGATGAAACCTAGGAACAAAGCATTAGCAATGAATTTAAACCCGGCAAACCGTTATATACTCAAAGCTGCAAATGAAATGACCATCCATGTATTACATTAATACCAGTTTTCGCAAGTTGTCATTTTGCAGTGCCTGCACAAAGTAGTCAGGAGAATCAGCTCAGCTTCTATAACCAATGGAATGTGCCGAAGTAATCAGCCCTCTGCCATCACATATGAAGCGTGCCACCCATGCTTCAGGCCAAGATTTGAAGTGAACAAACCATTACCAGCATTGGCCTTACAAAACAAAAATTGAGGGGCAGTCAGTATTAAGTAGCCCAATGAGCATGATTACATTTAGCCACGAGGAACATATCTGAACTTTTCAAGCTATGTACTTCAGAAATTCAAAGGATTCAATGGAGATGCTTCTGTAAGCAGACCACAATAGAAAACATAAAAGGTAATTATTTAGAAGTTATCCCAACAACTTCGCAGCAGCTCCTTAAAGGTAATGCAAAATGACATTAAGTACCATAGAGGAGCATAGACATGCCCTGGAGTTTGACCTCCATGTTTAACAGCTTAGTGGAGATGAAATACGGTTTGGGGAAGATGCTTGCCCTAAGTTCCCCTTTCCTTTCTCTCATTTAAAATGATAATGTCATTACATAAGTGCATCTTGAGGTCTAAAAGAATAATGACAAGAAACCTACATTCTCTACGTCACGCATACTATGTTCTAACTGATCCGAACAATTAATATCCAAGTCTGAACCTACATTAGGAAAATAACTTATGCAACATGATATACTTCACATGATGATTTGAGATAAGACACATCACGGCTTGCACATTCTGAAACTAGATTAGAAATTACTATTTCTGTAGACATGCCTACCATTTGCGGCTTTGACTTCAGCGAGATGCTGTTCATAAATTACCACTTCACACACACCAACAGAAACTACCAAAAGGATCCACAGTCATGGAAACTATCAACAGCAAAAAGACTCCAAGACAGAATAGTCATACAAAAGTTTTGCAGCTCGTATTACCCACAAGAACCATATTGATTTTAGTACTTTACTAGAGCAACTTCACATAAAGAAAATTGACCTTTTCCAAGTTATCTTGCTTTAAATTTTCCTTTTAACTTTTCCACTTCCGTCATCAGGAAGATGCAAAGAAACTGAGGGTCTAACAATAAAGAAAAGGATAAAAAGAAATGGAAATGTAAGCCTCACAAAAGTCACAAAAGGATTGGTAGTGATAAGTCATTAAGACAAATTGAAAGAGAAACCTGAATGACAATAGGAGACTGATCAAAATCATAATCAATCTCCATGCCCAAAGGCCGGGGGGTTGGGGGGAATCGTAAGTTTTTGAGAGACAAGATTCAAGCATAAGCTATTTAAAACGTCGAAGCTAGTTTAATTCCACACGCTGAACAAAAACTGAGTCCAATGTAGTATAGCAGAGGAATAGGAACCATAAATTCAGGGTCATAACTCTTGAATCCTATGTACAAAAAACAGTGTTCTGTACAAAGCCCTCATGATAGTGGTACACTGGTATGGATTGTCAAACTCTTTTTTCACCAAATTAGTTTGAGTTCAATAAACTATTCTTCAGCCAAAAAAAAAAAAAGAAAGAAAAGGAAAGTAATAAGGAAACCTTCCTGTACTTCTGCAGTTTTATGGTTCAGTTCAAGAATTAACTGTAATACAGACAAAAAGAAAGGCAATACCTAATACTTGTGCATCTTGTGGCGCCAAAAAGGAAGATATGCAGTGATCTAATCTAATGCTTGAACAAATTGTGGAAGCTTTAATAACTCTCCTTTTAGCTTGTTGTAGATTGCACCATACTTGGTTTACAAAGGAAAGTAGAAAAATATATTAGATGCTTTTGTTGCTTTAAAGGCATCTCTTGCACATGTCTCGATATAACGAAAACTATCTTTGGCAGAGTTTGTTCACCAGAGAAATGCAAATAGGCCGATGAGTTCCATGGCCAACCTTAAGCATATAAGTTGAAACAAGCAAGGCATCATTCCAGTTTTCTTTTTCCGAAAGACATTCAATCAGTCGCTTAAAAGTTTTCTTGCACGGCCTGAGTCCACTCTTAAGCATATCCCTCAGCCATGTCATCCCTTCAAGAAGAGAGCCTTGCTCAACAAGACCGAGAATAACTGAATCATAAGCACTCTTTGCAGGTATCAATCCCCTTTCTTGCATATCAGTCAATAATACTAAAGCTTCCTCAAGATGTCCCATCTGACATAGTGTTTTTATTAGAGGGGTATACGAGGCTATTGTCGGCTGTAAACCCTGCTTTAAAAGCTCAGACAAAACTTGAGTTCCCAGATCTAAGCTACCTTCCCAGCAAAGGCCTCGGATCAGAGAATTATATGTGCCAATATCACAAGCAACATCTCCTGCTGCCATTTGTTTGAACAGGTCATTTGCAGCTCCTACTTTTCCATTCAAGCACAGACCCTTAATCATCGTGTTGTAACTAATAGCGGTCTCCCCATAACCAATTTCACACATTTCCTTGTGAAGTCTCTTTGCTTCAACAAGATTACCAACTTTGAAATATCCATATAACAGTGCGCTGTATGTGTATTCATTAGGAATAATACCTTTACGTATCATCTCATACCACAATTTCCTAGCATCGCCTAACCTTTCCATTTTGCATAGGCCATGAATCATTGTCGTGTACATTGCTCTGTTTGGGGCATATCCTCTATCCTTGAGGTCATTGAAAACCCGAATGCTCTCGTGTTGCATATTTCTCTTACATAATCCTTTGATAACTTCCTGATAGGTAAATATATCCGGAGGAAGATTCTTTGTTATCATCATATGCAGAAGATCCGACATTCTCGAATAAATTCCATTTTTACAGAAAGTACTGATCACTTTATTGAAAACAACCTTAGAAGGGACGTGCCCATCCTTCAGAGCTTGACGAAGAATGCTATAACCTTTCCAAACTTCATTATCCAAACAAAAAGCTTGAATCAAATACCCAGTCAAATCCACATCTGCGCCAACATTACTTTCAACCATTTGCCCATAGAACTTCCAAAGAAGATCAGTTCTTTCAGCTCGGAGTGAACCTGACAATGCTGATTTCCAAGTTTTTAAGGCTGGGCAACAGTTTATACTCCTCAGATAATCAAACACATGAACAGCTTCTTCAAGAAGTCCATTATCACAAAGGCACTGGACATAAAGCTCCAATAAACGTGGTTCTGGTTCAAATTTCATAACTTCAAGAAATTCTTGAGCAACTTTAGCAGCCTTTACATCAATAAGCCCACTAAAAATCATATTAAACAATGATTGATCTGGCAGGAACCCACTTTGAGAGGTGATCCAGTGATAAAATCGTAGAGACAAAAATGCATTCTCTTGGTGCTTGAAAACCTCGGAATAAACATTGGGGTCCATAAAGTTGATGGTGGGAAACTCTGACAAAAGGCTTTGCTCCCATTTAGGCTCAGTCCTAATGAATCTGCATACCTCTATAGCTTTCTCCAAAAAACTTTTTGTGGTTAAGTTATGATTCCGAAGCACTTGAGCATCTGGATATTCATTATAGCCATTGTTACTATGACCATGAGTACAAAGCTTTCGGCTCCTGGTACTGGGAATTGGCAAATAAATTTTATGCCTCTGGCAGATGCTCAGATTTGCATAAAGTGAGGCGGGCTTTCCCATATGACCACAAGCATAAATCTTCACATATTCTTCAAAGGGTATTCAACTGAGTCACTTACAAGCCTAACTCAATAAATGATGTCACTTATTCAAGATGTAAACTGCAGTGGCTTGAACTTACGGGCACAGACCTAATCCTTTAAAAAGGAGAAATAAACAGGCATTCAGTTGTTACTTTACTTCACCCAGAATGCAGTGTCTGGAAACTACAAATTACAGGAAAGGGAAGACTACTGTCAGTAATGTACCTAAAAGCAAAAAAGAAAAACAGAGAAATAGTAGGGAAAAACAAATATTTGTAAAGCATGAATTCAATCCCTGTTCCATTAGCATGCTTACTAATCACTGTTCCTGCTTAGAAGACCTTTATGATTCGGTCCTGACTATCACGAAGTATGGAATTAGTGGTCAGTCACACTGTTTCAATCGCCCCAATAAGGGTGAAGAAGTTATAAAAGACTGAGATTATACAGTCGTACATAATCAAATAACAAACCATTGTTCTATAAAGAAGAATCCCCATTTTCAAACTTTTTAATCCTAACATAGTAACATGAGACATATTCATCACATAGAATACAAAGAAGCATTTGTCCCACAATCATAAGTCAGCCTAATCATACCAAAAGAAAGCAAAAAAAGTTAGCCAGAATCGGCAAGACCGCTACCATTGAAATACAATCGGCATTTCTAAAGAACGACAGTAACATAATTGCTAAATCCTCGTTCTAAAAATTCAAGCTTGAATAACTGAAATTACATAGACAAGAAGGAGAGATTGATAATCAGCCTCGGATGATTACAAATCGTACCTTTGTTTTAGCCGGAGGCCAGAGACAGAAAAACCTAGGACAGAGGAACGACCTCGAAGTTCCGCACAGAGAACACCGGAGGATGGCTAACTTTGGGGCAGGATCTTCCAACCGCGAAGGAGAAAATGGAAGGATTGATTCACTTATGAGCTAGTTTTTGCCGGCGCAGTAGGGATTGGGCGGTGGTAGTCCGCGGCGGCGGGAGAGTGGCGGGTGGAATGTGATGGTTGTTTGGTAAGTTGCCTGAGATGGTCAACGGTTTTGATTGAGACGATTACATATATTCAGTAAAAATATCTATCTATAGTATATTATTATGGTATATATATCTTATCTTACTATATTAGAAACAAAAATCACACTTAAATAAGACCATTTATCATGTAACATTTCCACATCATATTTTTAAAATAAATTTTTATTTACAAATCTCTTAGACTTAAAAGGGAAATACAGTCAAAATCCACCTCCACCTCCTACTTTCGCAAAAAAAAAAAAAAACCACGGATTCATAAAAAACCCAAATCCTCATCCTCATCTCCACGACAATCGACTTTCTAATCAATCCCTTCTCTACAATAAAAACAAAAAAAAAAAAAACAAATTCCTCATCAATCATCAATTGAGAATATGTGATGAAATATACTCCTTTCCTATTAGCATGTTCAATTTTTTCAATAGTGATGATCAACTACATCCTAATCGGATAAAATTTCGAGTTCAACAAATATTCTCATTACCTCTCTATATAAACACAAAGGAGGAAAAGAAAATTTTATTGATCTTGCTTCGGCTGTTGTGGTGGTGCCATTACAGGTATTAAAATTTAAATGATTTTATATTCACAAATCATTTGTTTGGCTTTTATTAGTTTTTGTTTTTCCCGTTGAATAATAGTGTTATTACTATTATTTTTATACGTCTATCCGTTACAACTACCGTAACCGTTGTCATGTATGATGTGATTTCTTATATGGTTAGTTAGCCTATAATTTTTATGATTTTAGTTCTGTTTGGATTGAATTGATTAATTGGGTTTTTGTTACATCGTGTGGTTTTTTAAATTTCTTTTTTTTTTCATGTTTCATTCAATTAGAGTGGTTTTTTTTTTTTAATTATGGAGTCTTTGTTTTTTTTCCTTATATGATCAGTTATGAAGTGTGTTTTTTCTTTATCTAATTGCGTTTAATTTTGTTTCATACTCCAGTTGATCAATTATTATTATTATTATTTTATTTTATTTGCAAATGAAGCGCGTTTTTTTTTTTTGTGTTCGGGCTTTCAGGAATATACTTTTTTGGATTTGATTTTTGGACTTTTTTTAGTTCCTCATCATATAAATAGTTCAGATCGCTTCTTCTAACTAATTTATGGGGAAGCCTTTTATGAATTTGAGGTGGAGAGGAAAGGAATGATGCTTCTACGTTTATTTGTGTTTTTATACATCATTTTTACCTACAGAAAAAAATAATTTTCTCAATTTTTAATAGGCTATCTTTTACTTTCTTTTTTTTTTTATTTGCCATGGTGAAGTGAGTTGTTTTTTGCTATAACTTGAAACCTATGCAAATTTACATTATTTTCATTATCATATTTGTGATCAACCAGTTACAACAATTAACCATTTTCAAAATCATATTTTTGATATTTTACTATCTATAAACTTTTGGAAGAAGTAGTTCCAACAATTAAGCGTATACCTTTTGGAGGTAGGAGGAAGCTTACTACAAAACTATTATAAATCTCCAAAACTAAGTATTGATTTGGTACAACCAATGGAAAACATTAATAAATCATCTTACTAATATTTAAACTTATTAGGATGCTTTTATATTTTGTCTAGCATTTACTTCAAGACATATATTTGATCAATTTATTTATATTTAAGAAGTAACGCTTATAAAACATTTTTAAAATCTTCAAACATTTCTAAAACGTACCGGGCCAAATACAAACATTTATATGATCACACTTATAAAACATTTCTAAATTCTTCAAACATTTCTAAAATATATTGAGCCAAATACAAAATATTTTTTTTCAGATAAAAATATTTCTAAGATCTACAGATATATTGGGCCAGGATCGCGCATTGCGCGACCAGACATCACTAGTATATATATAATATTATTTTATTATATTATACTAAGAGAGAAACCAGAAAGAGAATAAAAAAAAGTGATTTTAACGCTGCCAAAATCATATGTGTCATTTTTCTAATACATTTATCAAAAAATATTTTATGCATTTGTACTAATAGTTCTTCAAATTTTATATATTTAAATGTTTATCCAATCACATTTAAAACATAAGTTAAAATTGGAAAATATAAAAGTTAAACTTATAAGAATTAATCAACTTTAATGATCGAGAACAATCTATATTAATCTATTTGGTAAGAACTAATCAACTTTAATGATAAAAACCAATCAACGTTTATCTATATTACATTTCTCTGGAATTTTTTAATTTAATATTTAATTCACTACAATTTTTTAGAGAAAGTAATAAATATTGACGTGATTTCTGGTATTTCACCCAAAATAATTCCCAACATTAGGTTTGTATGAACGAGACTAATCAATCAATATTAATTCACTTGATTTTTTTAATCCGCCAATTCAAAAACAATTCCCCCCTAAAAAATATCTTTCCCAAATCAATTATCATTAATAATCCAATTAACATCTAGGTAGTCATCACCATCAACGTATCACACCTACCATCTAAATAAGATTTGGAAAAATTTTGAGAATATATGTCATTGATAAGCTAATTGGATGCGTATTATAAAATCAATCTCCAAACCAAGGAATTGAATTAGGAAGTAATCACTATTGTTATTAAACTTTAAACCAGTATATATATTGATCTACCCAACACCTCAAGGCTATTGATGCTCCATTAAACCCTAAGAAACTATGCAATCCAACTTACTATATACATTCAAACCTTTTGCTACGGTAAAAGCAATTTTTCATGGCAAAAAGTAGGAGAACTCCTATTGATTTTATCAATTAGAGATTGACAGCGAAGCTTCATATTTGCATTTTGAACGGGTTATATATACAAGAACAGAAGATATAACTCTCATGAAGTATGGCAGAACAGATTATATTGGTATACATAAGACAAGGTACTATGAAATAAGTTTTAATTTACTTTTAAATTTGGAGTTTATAATACGCTTATTCTGTAATAGTTTTTCAAACTAATTTTTAACTTGATGCATATAATTCATGTCTCTCCACAACATTGTTCTATCATCCAAAGTACAAAAAAGCTGTCTCAGGTTATAATTGGTAATTTTCAAATTATACATTAATCCCAAAAATCAATGTTATTAACTATTCTCCCATGCTTTTACAAAAAAAAAAAAACACCTATTTTGTCTCTGTCAAAATAATTATTCACATGAAAATTTTATTGAATGTCAAGATTCAAACATAGTATTTATTTTGAAACGTAGTGATTATTTGTCTAATTATTTTATGTAGCTTTGATCCACAATCCAGATGTCCAGCCACAAAAGAAGACTTCACATCGATCATCATCCGGAATGGATTCAATCTTTAAAGCTCGCAACAGAAATACGTTTTAGATCATCAAGATGAAGACAAAATAATACACTGCTGGGAAGAATTTAGTGTTTTTTTAGATAATCTTTGGATTAGTCTCGAATAAGGAGATTGTTGAGATTTTGTTATCTTCAAATGTTACATTTATATTTATAATATAGCATTAGTTTACAATAATTGATTAATTAACATCAATTTTTTGCACTGATAAAGGCTTCAACACGTCAAAATTATTAATCTTATCTATTAAATGTGTATATCCAAGTTTTGTTGAATTATTATATTTATTATTTATTTTTAAATTGGTGTAAATTAATGTGCTTACGTGTGACAAACAAATTCAAAGTTAGAAGGGAAAAAAGTCTAATTATAAGTGATTTTCTATTCCAATGCTAATGTCAAGTTTGTGCATTTTTAATGAAAAATTTCAAGATGCATAAGACACACTTGAAGCCTTGAACCCATGCCACTCACTAGATATCCCTAGAATGTACTTATGCATAAATTATAAATTGTATTCTTATAAAAAAATCAGTGTAAACAAAATTTTCCATAAATTATACAGTTTATTCTTATACTTAGTGATTAGTCGAAGGACTCATTTGTGCATAAATTAATCTATACCATTTAATTTTAGTTGTATAATATGTATTTTATCGTGTTATTACATTTTTCCTGTGCAATCTCTGATCTACTGTTATTTTATAGATGTAATATTTTTTATTTATAGTGATGATGTAATTTGTGCTCATATAATATCTATCGCTACAAACAAATTTTTTCATTGTATTTACTACATTTGAAATTTAAAATGTTCTTTTATAAGCGTATGAATAAACCCCGCACATCGTGCGGGTTTAACAACTAGTATATTTGTATTAAAAAAAAACCCCAAGTTTTACCCAACACATCCAAATGTCAGAACTCTCCCCCAAAGCCAAAAATGCATGAATTGTTATACGCAACTTGATTTTAATTCGTACAATTAGTAAAAAATACTATATTAAAATATCTTTGAACTTAAACGTTCTCGCCTTTCACTCTTTCATACAATTGTCTCTTTTTTTTTTTATCATTTATTACAAATTCTTTCAAACATACGTTCAAACCATTCACTCATTATTGATAACTTGCAATGGTGAAAAATCTAAGAACAGGGAAAATAAGAAAAAATGAGGTACCGGCATCCCAACAAGTAATTATTTGGGAGAATTGTTTGTAATGAAGCACACTTGTTCATCAATTTTCTTATTTAGTTCCGTCTTTCGTTTCTTCCTAATACAGAGTAAGTTCAAGAATGCAAGAAATTAATATCTAACGAAAAAACAAGTGTGCCTATGATTAAATTAAAATATCTTTCGTTTCTTTCGAAATTGGTATTTCCTTGATTTGGCTTTTTTTTTATGCTAAATCTAATTATATTTAATGTTCAATTTTATGTTAGTATTTTTCAGTTTTATGTTAGAATTTTAAGTATCTATGAAGAGGAGTTTTTTCATATTTTTACAAGTTATGCGAAGTAAAATCAAGCTGCGTTTAGGATTACCCATTTAGTGAATTTATCCCAAAAAATTAAAAAAAATGTATTTACTCTTTAATTGATCAATAACTTCAGCAGTTTCACTTTTAACTGAACCACTGATCTACCCCAAATAAACTTCTCTATAAATCTAATTATTTCAAAATTCTTCATCGATTTTTT